CCCCACAAATACACCACCCCCACCCTGATCCCCACCCATCCATGTCTCCCCACATCAGAGCTTTAATAATCCATCACTGCTAAGCCAACATAATATCCCCCCCCACACGCACACCCCCGAGCATTTTAAACCCAGAATCTCTGGGTACGATATGATGACTCACTGTACTAAACCCTGCATTTGTGCTCGTAAACAGCAGCACGGATCCCGAACGTTCCTAGAGAGCCGTCCGCAGACGACCCAGCCTTCCGCGTTTCTGCTGGGGTCTGGGGCCGCAGGCGAGGATCGTTCAGAGTCTTATTATTTGATCTGCGTACAAAAGCCCTGCCTCACAAATCAATTTGTACATCTTGTTAAAGTGAGGGGGGCAGAAACAGGCCACCCACACGGAGAGGATCTGTCACACGCATGAAGAGCAACACTTAAAAATATACTGGCATGTTGGAGCCACGGCTCTGTAACCGCAGCCTCTCACTCATCCTTCCAGCCCATACATCTCACACTCTGATGAAAAGCCACCCATCCCCCGCCCCCCCCCCCACTGTATAGCCCATGTTCCTGCACAGTGGTGGACTTGAAGTGGGCCGGTGCTTTGGAAACGAGGGGCGTTCAGTCCACGGGGGGAGAGACCACCTGATCGATAATAATGCAAGAAATGAATTATTTACACTTTTTTTTTTGTTTTCCTTCAGGGGGCAAAGCTGGGTGGATTTCAGCTAAGCTAACAGAGAAAGGGAAAGGGTTCAATGCACACCCGTTCCCCTGCCCCACCCCCAACATGAATACGCATCTAAAAGCGGAGAAGACAGGGGTTCAGAAGCGTGCCTCGCATGTGCCCTCACCGAGCTTCCCCGCCAGGTTCCCCACGGACAGCGAAAATAAAAATAAGAGACACAGCCAATCAGAGGGCAGCGGCAACGAGGCACAGCGGCAGGCCCACAGCGTGCGCGTGGGCGCGTGAGAGAGCAGGCCACTCCCTAACATCTGCACCTTCTGATGCGAGAGAGCACCCCAGAGGCATCGCTGCAGCACACCTGCACGGGGAAAGTTTTAATGAGGCCTTTACATAACATCAGACATTGTTGTTTTTTTTTTCTTCCCCTTTTGTCAGGCATCAAACGGACACCACGCTGCCACCAACGGGGAAGGAGGGGGAAGTGCAGGCGATCGCCGCGAGTGACGCCGGGCGATCAGAATGCCGTCACAATGACAGCATGTCGGCCTGCTTTCGTTAGCTGGTTTGTGGGCCTCCGGGCCCCAGAGGGAGCTTCCGGAACCCTCAAACATGACAGCCGTGCTCTCTGAGGTCCTCAATGAGAAGAGGGCGGCCACTCGAGAGCCTGATGAGCACTTCCAAGCAGCCCAAATATGGAAGGACCGCTGATAAAACATGGAGGCATTTTTAAACAGGCCTGCGTCGAGGCACTAAATATAAAGCCACTTAAAAGTTTATAAGTCTGCGTCCAGCACTTACAGTGTTATGCTCCCAGAGCAGAATTTTAAAAGGCTGTCAGAGACCCCCCCGCCCCCCCAGGACCCATCCCACCCCGCTTTCCTGTGCCCCACATAGACACTAGACCATTCCCAGTCCTTCTGGCCCAGCCTCCCATCCCATAATTCCTTTTCATGCCTGAAGTACTCCGGGCCATTCATTCCTCCAGGACAGCCACGCTCCCCAGCTACTCATCTGCCCTAAAATGGACCCCCCCCATGCAATATTAATGGTGCAGCCCAGTACACCTCATTACCCACACGCACCGTGCTGGGCCTGCTCAACTATTGATGGGCCTGGGGACCTTCTGCCAGGCCTGGACAAGCAGGCTTAGCCAATGAGAAGAATCATGTTGACAGGTTAGCCCCGCCCTGCCCCGCTATTGGCTCATGTCTGGACTGCTAGAAACTGCCCCTTCAGCACTTCTGTGAGTGAGAGACTTTGCTCAATGACGACAGTGTTAGAAGCAGGAGAGACTTCCTCTCTAATAATTCATCTATATCTCTCTGGTGAGTTTTTTTAAGGAAAGACTAAAATAACTGTCCAGATTATATAAAAAGGTCATATATGCAAACAACAAGCTTTCAGTTAGGAGCACAACAAAAAGGCATTGACTACACATACGGCAGCCCTACCCCCCAGGATCAGAGAATCTCCCAGAGCCCCCAGCACCACACCCGCTGCTCCCGTCTTCAGGGGGCAATGTGTTTGACATTGATTGTGACAGGGCCATTTACCAAGGTTGTATTACAGATGAGCGTTGTCGGCGGGAGGGGGGTTGTGGGAGTCGCTGTTAGTGAGGTCTGAGCCAGGCTGGGAAATGAGAGCTGAGAAACACTGCTTGGGGATCAGTCTGCCTTCGCATTGCGGGAGAGGTGAGTGGCTCAGAGAGATGAATAATGGAGCAGCTCCCCCCCTGCTGCCACCCCCCAGCAGAAGTGACCCGGCAGGATGCTGACAGCTTTCGACCGGGAATCCCGGGGCTAACAAAGTTGACCATTTGGTGACACGGGGGGGGCGATCAATCTACACAGGAAGGGACCACAGCACAGATATGACAGCGCCTTGGGCAGGATGGCGCGAGCAAGGCGAGAAACACCACAATCCGGGCGGTGGGCCACTCGTCAGCGTGTGCAGACTGCCGAGAAAGACCACTCCCCCGCCCCTGTCACATGACAGAGAGAGCGTCACCTCCCTCTGAGGTGACAGAAGCACATAGGATTACTGCCACGGGGACAGGAAGGCCACCTCTGGGCATGACGGCGGGGCACGGCCCGGCGTTCAGGCCGCGCGCCGAGATAAAGGTCGCCCGGTTGTGGCGGAAGACAGGCGGCATCTTGAAAAGAGGGTAAAATTACAAGGGATCAGGATACGTGGGTGAAAAAGAGGCGTGAAACCTAATCGGCATAGAGCTGATAAAATGTCCATAGAGGTGGACGGAGTTTGCTTGGGGCTGGACTTCGAATTAGCCTGTCCTGAAAACCTGTTACCTGTCCCCCCCTCAGCGAGTTCCAGCTTCTGCTGGAGGATCTCCCCAGGTGACCTCCTCAGACAATGCTGATCTCAGCGGTCGGGGTTCTGCAAAAGCGGCCAACTGGACAAGAAGGTTGCATCCTCGTTAGTGACGAGCAACAGCCGCTCCCGCTTACCCTGCTGTCCATCCAGATGGAATCCCCTAACCCCCATTCTTAACAAAATCAGCAACATTCAGGGGGAATCATACATTAGTCCACTGATCGACCCATCACTTTCTTTCAGCTTTACAATAAGTTTAATAACATCAAATGAAAACCGCAAGATGGCCTCACTGCAGATTAATATTAAGACCTCATGAAGCACAATCCACTCACACCTCACATCCCCATGGCAAATGAAAGGCACAGAGACCACCTGACCTGCTGCGTGTTCCTGCTGACAAACGCCACATGCGAACACCAGAGCAGGAAATGAGGGCTGCCCACCAGGTAGCCCCCCATCCATCTGTCCCCCCCGTCAGAGCAGAGTCTAGGTCCCGTGTGCCTCCTCAGCCCACTTCCCAGGTTCAGCTGTCTGTCGTCTGTTCATGGCGCAACGGGAACATGGGTGCTCACATACTGCCGGCAAGGGGAAGGGGGCATCGGGGTGTGAAGGCCCTTTGGGGGTTGGATGCAGGGGCGCCATTTGTATAATTCCGTGTACCAAGACGCCTCCCACGAGTGGCTTGGCACTGGGGGAGCATGTGTGCAAGCGTGTGTCACATCGCTTCTGTCCTCGTCTGAGCCCAACGCCCTCGTTCCCTTACGTAACCAGTTGGCACCGCCCCGCCCTGCCTGCGCTGCCATCTGCTGCTGTGGCAGCTTCTTACAGCCAGCCCCCCACACCAAGATTGCACGCAGACCACCTATTACCCACCAACACTCAGTCAGGCATGCAGACCACCCATTACCCATCAACACTATCAGGCACGCAGACCACATATTACCCACCAACACTGTCAGGCCTGCAGACCACCTATTAACCACCGATACTCAATCAGGCACGCAGACCACCTATTACCCACCAACACTC